GTAGTCCCTTCCGAAACATATCCTCTTTCTAGCAAAACACGGCCCTGAAAACATGATTTTGCCAACACGCGTGGGGACCCGGGAGCGTGGTAGAGTGGCTGCATGGATTGTTATGGATGGATGTGACTGCCTCGGCTATGAATTTTGCTATAGGATTGTACATTGTTTTTAACTTGCTGTATTGTTTTGGTGTTTTTATATTGTTCCAATGGTTTGTAAGGCGCCCAGAGTCATACACGGAGATGGGCAGCTATATAAATTGGAATAACAGATAAATGAAAGCGCTGCATTCTTCTCCCCCCTCACCTCCCCACCCTCTGCCCCTGTCAGCCTTCCCAGGTAGACCAGACAGGAAACCCGTCCAGATGAGCTGATTCTACTTTATTGCAAGGCTACATTAACAGAACCTTGCAAATCTCTCCCACCACCTCCTTTACAGCCTGAGAAACTAGGGAGGTTCCCTTCTGAGCCTCTTCCTCCACCCACTGTGCAGCTGTGGGCTCTGCCCTCTCTTATCTGACTTCCCTAGGCAGCGTCTCTTTGCCCGGTCTCCCAAGGTCATTCCCACGTACCATTATATCCCCTCTCATCCAGAAAAAATAAAGCGGAGTGGAGTAAGATGAGGTAGTGAGAAACAGGCTTTTAGGATTGATTGCCATCCTTTGAGTTAAGCCAGATCAAGAAAGGAACATGGAGGGATTCCAGCAATGCTACTTTATGGTAGTAGGAATTTGAAAGCCTGTCCAAGTTTCTCTCCATCCCCTCTTATTTTTTTAGTTTTTTTTTATCCTGCCTTTATTATTTTTATAAATAAGGCAGCAAACATACCCAATACTCCTTCCTCCTCCTATCTTCCCCACAACAACAACCCTGTGAGGTGAGTTGGGCTGAGAAGAGGGACTGGCCCAAAGTCACCCAGCCAGCTTTCATGCCTCAGGCAGGACTCAAACTCATGGTCTCCTGGTTTCTAGCCTAGTGCCTTCACCACTAGACCAAACTGGCTTTAACAAAATCTAAATAAACTGACTAAACAACGTCAAGGTGGGGTTATTTTGAATTTCTTTCTCACACTTCCTTCTATCTCTGGACTGTCCTCTCTTCTCCAAGTCCTTCCTCAATGACTCTCTCACACCTTTCCCAAGAAACACATCTAAATTCCTTTACAGAACCATGTTTTAAAAGACCTGAACTGACCACCGTCTTATGCCCCTTGACCTTGAGATCCTGGGCATCAGTCCACTTACTTGGCGGAATGTTGCCCGTCTTGCGGAAGTTTACAAAACTTTCTATGTCCTTCCCAATGCTGCACTGCTCGAGGGATTTGCGGACCTCCTCATAGTTCTGTCAGACGCAAGAGAACACCGCTGTCAGTGGCAGAAAAATGCTGCACCCCAAATCCCTCCAACGCTTCCAAACTGCAAGAGGCTGTAGGCAACATCTTGTGCATGCAGCCAAGCAATATTTTTTGGAGGAAAACTCTTTGTGTTTACTCTAAGGATGAATGAATCCATTCATTCATGGCAAAAAATCCAACCTGAATCATCGATTTGGATTTTTCTGACTCCGTTCAGAAAATTGATCTGTTTTGGAGAACTAGCCCAATTCAGGGGGGAAAAAGTTTCTGCAAACGTGTCTGGATCAATTCTGAGATATCGAATTCAATTCAGCACTTCAAATCAATTTGATTTTAAAAAACCAATTCAGAAAGTTGTTCAAAACAATCTCTGAACTGAATATTTGCACAACCCCAGTTTCCCCAACCTTTGACAGTGAGTCTTCATTTCTAATAAACCCTTCCACGTCTTTTCCTGTAATGAGATGGAAGAATGACCTTGGGAGACAGGAGGAAGAGCCACAGCCAGGGCAATGGTCAGGCAAGAGATATCTCAGCCCACAGAAGGAATGGGAGTGGAGAAAGCGTCTCAGAAGGGACCCTCCCTAGTTTTCTGGAAAGTAAAGGCAAGGGAGGGGAGATATGCTTTCAGACTTGCAAGACTGATATCAGCCCTTTGAAATAGTCCAGACAGGAAACCAAAATGGTGAGTACTTACACTACCTTTATTGTAAGGGGACAGTAAGAGAATCTTGCAAGACGCTTTCTCCACCCCCCATTCCTTCTGTGGGCTGAGATATCTCTTCTCTGACTGTTGCCCTTGTCTCCCAGGGTTATTTTCACAGCCCGTTACACCTCTTGCCCTCTTGAAAGTAAATAAAGCCTGCAGGTATTGGACAAAGAAGACTAAACCAGGTGTGATGCACAAGATATGTGAAGGGAACTTCTAGGGGTGCTGCTAAACTTAGAGAGTGTTGCACAATCCTCTTGTTTCATTTATGGAATTTGAATGGAATAAGGGGATTCTACACATCACGTTCCATGAGGAATTCTTATTTGTCCTATCCTTGTTTTGCAGAAAAGGAGGAAATATGGATAATTCCATTCACAATGTCTACTGAAAGAAAATATGAACCTACGCTATCAGTCTGGGTGCATGCTGGATATTTGGGGAAGGGGTTCCTCCAGCTTCACTCCTGGTGCAATTTTCCTGAATCTGATAAGCTGCTCAGTCCCTTTGGGAGGGGGTGGGGACCTGCATTTAACTGAATCATGATTATGAACTCCCTCTCACCACCCCAATGGAGTTACCACCAGATTCTGGGAGAGGAGAACAACTGAAATCAGGGAAATGAATCCCAAAGAGGAGAGCAGTTAAACATTGACATTTCCTTTTCCTCAGTGCCATTGTTCGGATCAAAAGGGAAGCCACAGCAGACATCGTGCAAGAAGAACAAAGGGGATGGGAGGAAGGGAAGGCCCTTGATATGGATTCTTTCTTTTAAAAATAATATTGTCAGTATTTGTTTGATCTGTATGCAGCTCTTCTGCCTAGAGGGTACTCCAGGCGATCCAGAACAGAACAGCACTTAACATCTGATTTACAGTAACGGCTGAAACAATCCTGCCTCCTCCTGTGTTCCCAGAGGAAAATTTGGAAAAGAAAAAATTGCAAGAATCGCTTGTCTCTGCTCTGCACCCTCCTAGCTTCTGAAATGCATTCAACCTTGTCTCTGTTACCTGCCCTCCTTAAACTCTTGCTCTGGATGCTTGCAACCAAGGTTTGCTGGGCTCTAACCCAGAAAATAATCAACTGCAATAATCAAAACCCTGAAAATAATCAAAAGTAAACTTTTCCTGACTCCCTTTTCTAGGGAGCTTCTCAACCTGCCTGCTTCCTAACTTGCTGCTGTTGATCAGGGTTCCAGAGGAAAAGGAGAACAAGGGCAGGGCCAGGAGAGGAACTGGCACTAGTAAAGCTCCGTCTAGTGGGATTTTAAGATTTTGCAGAGAGTGGCGGGCCTTGAATCCCACAAGCCTATTTCCACTGCCAAATGTGGTCCTTTTCCCCAAGGGGAGCTTCATCTCATTTGTCAAAGAGCTGGACTGGCTTCACACAGCACACTAGGCCACTAAAATAACCCCACCAAACACTAACCAAGCTGAGCAGAGTGCATGAATATTAGATGACCAGGTTGCATATGATGTGGGAACGCAACCAAAGAAAAGCTGAGATGGGAGAAAGGTATGTGGAGGGGTTGGACAAAAGGCAACATCACTAGTCCATCCATGTGGTTCTGGATAGGTCATGCCCACTACAGCAGCCGTTTTGTGAGAGTACCCACTGCATACTCTGAAAATGCCAAGGCCAAAAAGTTTGTCGATACCAACTCCCGATCTACACAATGTAGGAATTGGCATTCCTTTCTTACATCATCATTCTTGACGCATTCTTCGGAGAGCTGGTTGACGTGCAACCACAAAGCATTCCGGAAATAGTTGATCCGCTCACATTCTTGACCTTCGAAGAACTGAAGGAGACAGAGAAGGAGACCTCAGTTAAAGCCTGGCTACTGAACTCTTCAAAGAAGCATTGTTTTATTGGAGTGGGCTTTTATTTAATATATTTGTAAACTGGCCCCTTGGAGAAAGTTTGAGAAGAAAGCTAATAAATACAAAGCCACAATAAAACCATTGAAACCTGATCCCTTCCAGTTAGGTTTCAGGGCTGGGCATGGGATGGAGACCACAACGACCTGTGGTAGGTTTTGGAGGGGAGTGGTGCACATCTACTTGTCCTGTTAGATCTCTCAGCAACATTTGATACCATTCACCCTGGTATCCTTTGGCCTGTCTATGAGAGCTAGGGATTGAAGGCACTGTCCTACAATGGTTCTACTCATTTTTAAATTGGTGGTTTCCAACTGGTGTTTTGGGAGGAAGAGAAGTCAAGTCATTGGCCAATCCAGTGTGGGATGGGCTCAGTCCTCTCCCCTATTTTGTTCAAGAGCTACATGAAACTGCTGGGGAAGGTCATCCATCAGTTTGGTATTATCAATAAGCTGATGATACCCAGTTTTACATCTCTATCCTTGGCCAAACAGGAGATGCAATGGAAGTCTTGTCCCAGTGCCTGGAGGCTGTGAGGGACTAGATGGGGCAATGCAGACCAAGTTTGAATCTCAGCAAGATGGAATTCCAGTTGATACCAAAAGGCCCTGGTACCATGGATATTCCATTAGTTGCTCTGGATGGGATTGCACTGCCTCAGAAACAGCTGGCATGAAATCTGGGGGTTCTCTTGGATTCACAGCTCCTACTGGAGCAGCAGGTGGAAGCCATGGTCAGGACACTATGGCCACATTAGACATGTCCACCATTCATGCCCTTTCTTGAACCAGGAGGAACTGAAGACACTGATTCTCTTGCTATCTCTCAGCTAGACTACTGCAATTTGTTCTATGTGGATCTGCCATTGAAGATGTCACTGGCACAGAATCCATCTGACCCTAGTTGGTTTAATAGAATGGCACCTACTTTGCAGATGCTGTATTAGTTGCCACTAAGTTTCTGGCTCAATTCAAGATGCCAGCAATCACCAATAAAGTTCTGTATGGCTTAGGCCTTGTTATTTTCAGGACCTAGTAGATTCTGCCCACCCTACATGATCTAGAAAAGAGAGGATGTTTTGGGTACTCAATCTGCAAGGAAGCAGCAGGGTTGGAACTTGGAGAACAACATTCCCATCTGTAGTCTCTTCTTTCTGGAACAGCATGCCCCTTGAACCCAGATCAGCCCCCACCCTTTTAGGAAACAGGTCAACAGTTCTCTTTCAGAAAGTATTTGGTTAAGAACATTTCAATCACCACAATGTGCTATTTTTTATATCTTATTTATTGATGCATTTTTATTGATGCTTTTATTAAGCATACTGATATATTAGCTTTTATTGTAAGCCATCTAGAGTCACTTGAGTAGGCAGCATTTAAGGATGGACAGAAGGCCAGATAGTTGATCGACTGATAGATGATTGATAGACAATGAATAGACAATGAATAGACAATGAATAGACATGATAGACAGATAGACAGACAGACAGACAGACAGATAGATGATAAGTAGATGGGTGATAGGTAGATGCATAGAAAATACATCCATAATAAATAAGCATCTAATTTTGTTTAATTTTTATTTTACAGGGCTTATAAATTGCCTCAGACGCAGAGCTGACTCTGAAAAGCACACAATATCCATATCCATACTTCAGATTAGAACAGAAAACAAGGTATCAAACCTATATAAATACATATAATTACATACGCAGGACAGGGAACACCTAAGAATCAACCCAACCAAAATTGATCCACCATCCATGGCTCCAGCAACCAGTCCTATCATCCCAATCCCCAGGGCCTGTTAGAACATCCAAAGCTTTATAGACTCTCTGTGGGTGCACCTCTGGGAAATCTAAAGGACCAGTTTGGGGACAAATCACCCTGGAGAAGGTCTATCTATAGCATGCGGTTGCTAAGAGCTGACACTGGACTTGATTGCCCATAATAATAATAAGATAAAAGGGACAAGGCCATTCGGATGTCTGGGACAATGCTATTCCACAGGAGAGAAGCAGTGACAGAAAAGGCACATTTTGGTGGCCCCTGCATGCACCAAGAAGGGGTGTAAACAGAACCTGCAGAAAGAGCTACATTTTAAAAAATTATTCTAGGATCAATTTGGGATGTGTGTGTGTGTGTGTGTGCTGGGAATCCTTTTTCTTAAACCTGTTTGGCTTTCCAGCTTGTTGGCCTCCCCTTGGCTGGGTAAGAGGATCTTTCTTCTTGGGGTTTTCCAAAAGAAACTATACCCATATGTGGAATTATTTTACATACTACTGTTAAATTATAGCATGCATCCACCAAGGCTTCATCAAACGCTCAGCAATTTAGCTGAATCAATAACTAAACTGTTGGTTTGGCTGAGTATCTTATTTTTTGAAATAATATAGAGGAGGACAGAGAATTGAACCCAGAAACAATGGAGAATCCAGCCAAATTTGAATGCAACATTCTTGAAACCCTCTCTGTCCCCTCCACCATACCCTGGGTGGAGAAACAAGAGTTCTGTTTTATTTTTTTGTGTTTTTTTTGTTTGTTTTTTACCTCGCAAGACTTGACATGCTCCTTCTGCCACTCTTCCCTAATCTTCTCAAGAGCGTTGACGTTGTTCTGATACGCCCTGTCTGCAAATGGGAAACAGCAACAAAGCCATCCAATTGTATTAAAAGATGGTGGGCCCAAGTTCCAAACGCACCCTGAGACTCCAGACAAAAAGCCCCAGGAATTCCCCAGACGGGAATAGACTCACATGGGCAACTGGCTGGTATGGGATACCAGTGGACTGATTATCATATTTGATAATGATATCAGACTTCTGATATCAATGCATCTTGGAGTGCTCCTCCATGAAAAAGATAAACGTAAAAGCTCCTTCAAGTTAAGCTTGACTCTTGCAGACTACATGGACTTGTCCATGACATGATATGGAAACAGGGTGGTCTTTCCCTTCTTCAGAAATAGTTATTTCCCAGTCTAGCCTCCAGCTCTCTACGTCAAACTGTGTTCTGCAGAACCTCAGGGTTTCACAAGAACTTGAAAGATTTCTGTGGAAGATTACAGGCAAAAAAAAAAAAAAAAGGATTCACTCAAACACAGCCAATCTGTTTTTACTAGAGCTTTGTCTTTTGATCAGGGGTTCTGGAAATTTCTTTAACAGGTTCCACAGCCTGCAAAAGTTTGAAATCTCCTTCTCTAGATATTTCCTGCAGGTCATCGATCCAGGTACTAAGCAGACCTGCTTAGCTGCCTAGCCCAGACAAGGCCAGTCAGATGATGCTAGATGTTGAGATGGTCCATCTAATAGTGGGCTTAAGGGCTGCACTATAAATGCATTGAACTTAGCAGAGGACAATTTTCTGCTATCTGGTGATGTTTTCTGGGGGAGAAGAATATTAGCACCTCACAAGATCTCCCCTTTTTTTTTCTTTTTGTTTTAAACTTTTTTTAAAAATTACACCTTATTGATAACAAGAATGGAATAGTACCAGTCCCTTTACCTGGAATTAGTTCCTGAAATGCCTATAAAAATATAGCACACTGCATAATTTTCTTGGACATTTCAAGTTCTCAAAGCACAGGTTTACTGGAAATCTGCAAAGAGCATCATTACGAGCAGGGTTTTTTGGGGGGTTTTTTTTTGGTGCCTTTGAGTGAATTTTGACATCTGGCTTAAAAATATAATTTAAAGCAAGAAAAATTAAAGTCCTCATAAAAATCCTGCTGATCAAGGATGAACATTCCCTTCTGGGTTTTTCCCTCAGAATCTAATCTAATCAATGATATGGATATATTGTTCATCGGAAGAATTGGAAAGACGTAGTAGAGTTCCTTGTCAATTCACATTTTTTATCAACATCTGAACAAGTTGAATTTTTCTCCCCTAACTCCAAACCAAGGAAGAACACATTTAAGCAATGTGGTTGAAGTTCCTTCAACTGTCTATAGTTATATAGATTTTAGGCAATTTCCTTCCTCTTTTCACCCCTACCTATTCCTTTTTTTTTTTTTTAAGTGTATTCTACACAGCCTGAGTTCATACAAAATAATGAATCCTAAACTTGAGTTAACAGACAATTGCTGTGTTCACACAATGTGCTATGCCCAAACAAATAAACCATATTCTGACGTAAACTCTTGGACTGGCTCACAGAACACGCTAAGACAATGACTGAACCCCCAACTTCCCATCTCTACCCTCAATGGCTACATTCACATAACATGCTAAACCTGGATTAACAAATTACTGTTGCTGTGTTCGCATAACCTACAAACTCAGCCATCTTGTTTCTAGCAGTTATCCTATTTAAACCCTACGGTTAAGTCACTTGGCTTTTTTGTTATATTATGCAGTCACTGTCCTTGCTGAATTCAATAAAGGAAAAAGATATGAAGCAAAGTAACGCCAAGCCACAACATCTCACCCACACCCCATCAGCTGCAAGAAAGAGGGCTTGAAACATGCGCTCCTGTGCATGGGAAATTGTGAAAGAAACATGCACCGTTTGGGGAGCAAACTTCCTATTTATTGATTTATTGAACATTAGCACATGCAGCGCACTGTATGGGTGAGGAGGAAGCAGCCAGGAAAGGGGAAGAAACAATAAGGTGAACTGGACTTATCATTAAAGCAGAACAGGATTTTTTTTGTTCTGGGCTGCAGACCAACAAGAGAAATCAGTCAATGGCCACTGACAAAGTAGGGAAAAAAGCACCAATGGGGAAAGGATTCAGCAAAATGTGGAAAATTTTATTCTCAAACCATGTTCACCAAACAAACTAAGCCATCCTTTGCTCAACCACAGTTTATTGAATTGGCTGGATTCTTCCAGCACACTATACCATAAACCATAAATTGTAATCCACAATGGCTGAGTTCACACACGAATAAGCCAGAAGCCAGCAAATTCTGTTATAATTTGGTGAATGTTCCACCACCGGGACAACATCCAGGATGTTGACTTCAACTCCCAGAATTCTCAGCAATAGTAACACTGGCTGGGGAATTCTGGGAGTTGAGTCTGTATATCTGGAAGCTATCCAGGTTGGGTAACGTTGGCTTAACGCGTTGTGTGCTCCTAGTCTCTTTGTGTCAGCCCATCTACTTTTCTCCAAAGATACACAGAAAAGCGAATAATCCCCAAAGGGGAATCCAAACAAGGTTGGCCCAGATGAAGCCCTCTCAACTGCCTGGCTAAGTTCTCCCTTGGGATTCTTAAAAATAAAGAAATAAAAGACAACAGCCTTCCGGTTTAAACCCCTCTTAGAACCCCAAAGAATATACTCTGGCTGGGCTGGCCCAACATGTTTAACCCTAAACCCAAGTTAAGAAAATAAAATTGATACGGTCACATGGTGGGTGATGCCTGAACAAATAAACCACATTAGGACTCAACGTAACGGCCTGGTTCATACAAAACACTGAACCACAAACCACAAACCCATTTTAGCCCGTTGGGCATGCTGTACGAACTCATCACAAACGGCTCTTGTGTCTTTAACATCAGCTCAACCTGCAGGAATTACCCTGGGAAGTTTTCATTGCATGGACCGATCTCCTCCTCTCTGCATATTAAATTGCTCTTAATTTAAGAGCAAGGAGTGGAAATTAGTTTGAAAGTTGGCAACTCTCCTCTTTGGAGGCAGAACAACTCACCTGAGTCTTCCAGGGCAGTCTTGGTCTGAGCAAGTTTCACAAACAGCTGAAAAGGAAGAGAAATTAAGTGAGGAAAATATTTTAGAATAGTTAGGGAACGTGTTCATTCCCAGCTAAGAAAAGAAAAGAATGGCCTCAATTTTTCATAGGAAAAGTAAAGGCTCCTTTACAACAGGACTGATCTTGATGACCACGTGATGACGTTTTCTTGGCAACAACAAGGCAACAATTTGCCATTGTTTTCTTCAAGACTTTGGTTTTTTTATATTCCAGTCTATCCTACAGCCTTTGGGTTCCCTGATGGCTTCCCATCCATGTCCAATCTAGGTCCAACTCTTCTAGATCCAGGTCATCTGAATGAGACCAGGACTGGGAAAAGTTATACTAGGCAAATAATTGGTTCTGTTGTAGAATTCCAGTTATCACCAGTGTTGCTATCTGAAGCAATGCTGATAGTAAGAAGTGTACAATAGTGGAATAATCTATCTGTAGTGGTTGTGGGTTCTCCATCTCTGGAGGCTTTTCAGAAGAGGCTGGACTGCCACCTCTTGAGGATGGTTTAACTGGGTTTCCTGCACACTGCAGAGGGTTAGGTGAGATGATCTTTGCGGTTCCTTCAACACCACAATGTTATGATTCTATGAAGCCAAAATTCTTCTCTCCACCCTAGAAGGCTGCAAAGTCTCCAGAAATTCAAACCCAAGCTTCTTCCACTATCTCTTCCATGATCCTTTTAAAACCTGAGGAACAACCCTAGCATCTTTTGCAGCCAAAGTATATGCTAAAAGCACCCCAAAGTAGAAGTGGTTAGAGCAGGAGCACATAATACAAATGTCAAGTGGTTTAAGGAAAGAAGTGTGATAGACAATGACAAAGTTCTCAGTGAGCCAAGCTGTTTAATACTGTAATACCAAAGACCGCTGGAAAGCAAAAGAGAGGCTTAATAATTGAAGTACAAGTCATATTTGTAACTGCTCCCCATTCCATTTGCCTGTACTGCCCCCTACCTTTTCCTGCTGCTTGGGGGTGACCAGGTTGCTGCTCCGATGAACTGCTTGCTCTGCTTCATCTTTGTCTCTGCAGCGCTGTTCATACAGCCTCTTTGCCTAGGAAATGGCAGGACTGAGCAAGTTACAAAAAGTATCAATCTGGGTACACAACTTTTTCTCAAATGGAGTTTCTCGCCTGAACTTTCAGGGACATCGCAGAGGTTCCATTCCAAAAACCAAGGGGCGGGACTTCATTTCCATTGTAACTTGATTAAAAATATAGCTAATCTGAATCTAGCTGGGTATTTAATCATTTTCTCTTCTGTCACATTCAAAATTACAATTGGTTATCTACTGGATAACAAGGGTCTTGAGGAGCTGGGTTGAGACCTGCAGCCGTGAAGTTGTATATATCAGGTCTACATGTTTCTGTCTTGGTTTGGCCTCCTGAGGACTAGCTCATGCACAAAAGGAAGACATTCTGTGGGTATCTATGGCTTCTATCTTGGCTACAATGAAAGAATCAATCAAGCTGTGTCACATTTGTGAACTTCAGCTGTAGGCAACTTCCTGAATGTAGGATGAAGAGTCTGGAGAGATGAGATTCATTGCCCTGCCTAGAATTAAGCTTGACAAAAGGACTCCAACAGGTCCTAACTCCCTCTCCTTACAAAAATTAGTTGCAGCTTCCTTGGATCCATGTGTGTTTTGGAACTGAAGGAGAGGCTGTAGGATTTGAGCAGGTGAAGGAGGAAAAGGTGAGGATTGGAGAGGAAACATGGAGAATGGAGACAGTGAAGGAATAGATGTGGAAAGCAAAGAAGGATGGAAAGGCCGAGAGATGAGAACAGGAAACAGAAGAAACAAATAGAGAGGGTTCAGGAGGCAGAAGCAGCGAAGAACAGCAACAAAAGCAGAGGGATGATGAAGCAGTGAGTTGCAGTTTGGGAGCTGCCCTGGACATCACACCAGGCTACCAGTGACCTATAGGCTAAACTTTTTGGATTTCCAGACAAAGGCTACAAAAAAATGGGCTTGAAGGCCACCAACAGCCTAAGGGTTGTCCATCTCTAGTTTCAGAAAGCTGATGGGAGGCAGATAATTATCACGTATTTTAAGAAACAGATGGGAGGAATAACTCACTTCTAAGGTTTTCTTGTACTGCAGATTTCGGTTTTTATGAATTGCATCCATTATTAGTTCAATCTGTGAAAAAAGAACCACAGTTTGTTTCCAGGCAAAACAGGACCATCTCCCGCTTCTAAAAATAGAAGACCGCATAACCAGAACAAGAACGGAAAATAGTGGATCTCTCTCTCTTTTTACCTTGCAAAGCACAATTCTCACTTCCTTGCTACAGGTTTCTAAGCGAGCCCTCTTGCATCTCAACAGAGGTTGCTATAGCCAGCAAAGAAACTGGAGTACTGTCAACCCTATAGAGTTTCAACTTATTTGTAAGCTGAGTTGGATGATGCAGTCAATCAAGCAGGAAGCAATAGTTCCATGAGGACTAGAAAGTTGATTCCATTTAACAAAAGTGTCAACCTGTTTGAGACTGACAAACTCAGGAAACAAAAACCCCTTGGATTTCTAGAATGATCTTTATTCCTAGTGGGGTAATGTAACAGAATCTTGAAAGCTTGCCAAAGCCATTCTCCAGATCAACTTATACCTAGCATAATTCAGGCAGAGTTACTCTGAGTTTCTTTCTTATGTATCCCCTTCCCTTAGACTAGTGTTTTTCAACCTTGACAGCTTTTAAGTATGCTGGCTGGGGAATTCTGGGAGCTGAAGTCGACACATCTTAAAGTTGGTAAGGTTGAGAAAACACTGCCATACGCTAAGAAATCTTTTCTGTAATAGTCCTGCTTCTTCTTCTATGTTTCTAAAGTCTGTTAGACATTCCATAACAAAAAGCTTAACCAAAACTTGATTATCAGGATGAAACAGATTTGACATAGCCAGGCTCCCACATAACGGTTTGCTAAATTTTGCATGATTTTAATACAATGTGGAAATTCAACCTCTATATAGTTGAGGGAAAAAACACTGCAATGCCAGCTTGAAAGTAAAAACTAAAAACCAGCAGTTTTTAATTCTGAACTTTGAAATAAAACATAAGCACCACCTTAAACAAGGAAATTATATATTAGTGTTTTGATTGGTCCCCATGTTGTTACACACTTATAAATCAACTTGGACTTTACCCCCAGAACGGCCAGCTATAAATGAAATGACAACATTAAAATATGCAGTTACAAAGATTCACGATTGTCAGGCTTTAAAACAGCAATGGAGACACGCAAGATTAATGAAGTGTGAGTAATGGCCTTCACAGAAGGATCCCAGAAAAAATTAGAACTTGTAATCTCACCTGGCAATCTATGGAAATAGCCATAAGAGGTGCAAGACTTTATTTAGTTTAAAAGCTATTACTGTTTGGCCACTTTTTGGAAATACTATGCTGAACCTCTGTATTTCACCTGTATGGGTCTTCTGTTGTATCTAGATTATTTTCATTGGTGGGATACGCTGCCTAGGTTCACTGTCTGAACTATTTTTTTTTAACCAAGACACAACTGGCTGGACAGAACATACTAAGTTGTAAATCAAGGTTGCGTTCTGTAATGGCTGGGTTCACACTCAAGGTCAAAACTAAACAAACCATAAAAGGCCCTTAGAGCAGTAGTTCTTAAACTGGAGGTAATTTGGGCATATCCTGGAAGTCGTGGAGCAATTTGTAATTGTGAGTCAAGGATCCAGTTTGGGACTGCCGCTGCTGAGATGCTTCCGTTACACAACAGAGTTTGTATTTTTTGAGAGCCTCTTGATGAGGGTGAAAGAGGAGAGTGCGAAAGCTGGCTTGAAACTCAACATTA